GTAGAGTTTAAGTATAGAATAAGGTCATATCTTTTGGGGCGAAACGAAGGCGCATACTTATTATTGCAGCGTAGAGGAAAAGTATACTCTGAACATTCCACTAACCGCATCATTAACGAATAAACTGAATGCACCTGAAGTATCAGCTGACTATAATGAGGAAGTTTTAGTGGAAGAAATAGATATGAGCTCGAGTATGAAGGTCTGAAAAATTTGGCCGGCTTTGTTTGCCATAAATTGCAGGGTGAGAGGTTGAAAAGTTCCTCAGATGAAACTTATTCCTGGATAGACCATCTTAGCGAGAGTGGATTATCAAAGCCTTCCACAGCTTTCATGAATCAAATTGCGAAGCTTAATAAGGTGTTTACTTCCGGATCAAAGAACTGAATAAAAGCTTGAAAGACCAGAAGAATCGTAAAAGCAAATGGAGAAAAATTGTGGCTTAGACTAAGTCATTTCCATTTATTGTTATACCGCCAGCTTACTGCAAAAAGATGATGACTCCATTTTTCTACTTTTTGAGTTGCGTATATTTTCACACTTGCATGTAGTTAGTACTTAGGATGTTCTGTGAAATAAGGATGAATAAATGTAGTGCAGTATTAACGTCACGAGCATGTTAATCCTGCTCCACAGAACATACTAAAATATAGGTAATGTAGAAAAATCTTGTTTTTACAGAAAAGTGACGATTCACGCTCTATTGTGGAGCTAGAAAGCCGTTTGAGCTATAACCCGTGAGATAGGAATTACAAGGTTGAAATCTTTTATTTAAATCCGCCATTTTGCTTCGTATAAAATTTTAATGTACACCTACATTGTGTCTATCGCACCGCTAAGACGAATCCAACGACACCTCGTATGTGAAAATCTATCAAGCCGTTTGAGCTGTAGCCTATGAAATATGAATTACAAGGTTAAAATCTTTTATTAAAATCCACCATTTTGTCTTTTATAAAATTTCAATGCAGCTAGTGTTACTAGCACCGCTAAGACGAATCCAACGACACTTTATATGTGAAAATCCGTGTTGCCGTTTGGCATGTCGGTGAAAATAGGCACGTTATCCATATCAATCTAAATAAGAGTCACTCTCTGCGTGACGTCATGCGCGCCGGCGGACGAAAATCGAACAGCGGAGCATCCGGCACTGGGCTACAATACTGTTTTGTGGAAGCATTACACTGTACCAGATTGTTGCGTCCCCAAGCAGTGATGACCACCAGGTCTCTCCTAAAAGAGAAAAATTGCTGCTAGTTTTCTTTTCTCTAACTCACCGGCACGGCACGGGTATTGAAAAGTGACATTTAGGCCCGTATCGTCAGTCGTCCCTACAATTGTAGGGCGCCTTTATGGTCTCCTTGATTGTCATAGTTTTCTACTTCTCCGTGTCAGCGCTCTATTTTGAGGTTATGTCACAAACATCTATTTGCATCAAATTGTGCTTGCTTTTGAATTATATCATGTTTTATCAACCTGAAATTTCCTACAATTTAAACAGAAAACATATCTTCATAATAGGACAGCGCAGACTCTGACACGGGACGGGTGCAATCTAGAAGATTTTTGAAGGAGAGAAAGGAGTATCACAATCAAGGAGGCCATAAACGCGCCCTACAATTGTAGGGACGACTGATAATACGGGCCTTAGTTGCTTTTTTCTGACATTTCGTAAGTTTTTTGTGACATAACGTAGGTTTTTTCTGCAAGATGTTAACTTCGCAAAAGCAGTTGTACAGTTGTGAGAGAAAAGTGGAATGAACTATTTGCACACTAGAAACTACCTAGTCTACCAGATAACATTTTGTCGGTTTCGTCGGCTTTAATACAAAATCTACCGAAAAACATCTCATTTTCTTAAATACTTATATATATATATATATATATATATATATATATATATATATATATATATGAAAAATTAAAGCTTCCGCCTTTTGTTGGATACTTCGACAAAAATTTTAGGCAAAGAGGACTCTTTATACTTTTTTATTCTCTCTAGCTTTCAATGGACTTTGCCATCATCATCAGGAGCTGCAATTACATTTATAACAGTAGCAACAATAGTGTAAAATGAATTTAAATTAACTTACAGTAGTATGTGAGGATGTTGCTAATTGTTGTTTACGTTCGGGATGAGGGAAACACCATGGTGATGATGATGGCAAAGTCCATTGAAAGCTAGAGAGAATAGAAAAGTATAAAGAGTCCTCTTTATATATATATATATATATTATTTCAAAATCTGAATCTTTACCATACATAAATGGTTATACAAGATAGATTTACACTACAATGAATAAACACCACAATTACATTACATTTAAAACTCACATGTCAAAAACTCCAAATTAGCATCATCATTTACATAAAAGATGAACGATTCAGAGTGAGATTTTGGCCAGCTCTTGTGCTAAATCTATAACAGGACAGCATGCTATGTCACAATTTTGTGGCATTAACTGAAAATGTATTCTTCTCAACAACTCGAGAGAGTCAATTATATTATTTGATAATTCAAAAATGAAGCACATCTCCAGAAACATCCCTCTATTTTTAAGAAAGTACAATCCAGTTATCCTCATGGAATTTAACGAAATACATGAGAATTGAACACTTTCCCCCGCTCCGCAATATTTGATTTGATGCAGCATTTCAGCATTAGTTGCGACCTTTACCCCTTTACGCTTTGAAATTTTCGATTACAGGGATTTAGGCCCGTATCGTCGGTCGTCCCTACAATTGTAGGGCGCCTTTATGGCCTCCTTGATTGTCATAGTTTTCTACTTCTCCGTGTCAGCGCTCTATTTTGAGGTTATGTCACATCTATTTGCATCAAATTGTGCTTGCTTTTGAGTTATATCATGTTTTATCTGCCTGAAATTTCCTACAATACAAAAAGAAAACATATCTTCACAATAGGAGAACTCTAACGCTGACACGGGACAAGTGTAATCTAGAAATTTTTGAAGGAGAGAAAGAAGTATGGCCTTCTTGATTTCGATAATATTACGTCTTCTTACGTCGTTAACGCACATGTATGTCCTCCTTTTGATTTCCGATATCTGACAGTTCTGGTTTGGGGTTGTTTTGACGTTCAAGTCACATGACAGCAGAACCATAATTACCATACCATTACCATAATTTTCTTGTAAATAATATCGATCACTCAAAAATACTTCGCTACATTGATCAAATTATATACTTATCGCATTATTTTCAGGTGTCATTCATTATCACAGACTTTATGAGAAGTTGGTTTCTCAGTAAAATGCTATGCTTACTTTGGAAGGATAAGGAGGTGAATGATCTTTCTCTGCGGTCTTCATGTTTTCAAATAGCTACATTTCAGGATTTAACTCTACTGCCTCTCTCTTTGCAGTGTTAGACTGTTATGTAAAAAATAAAAAAACGAAAAAAACCGACGAAATGTCATTTTGCAGACTAGGCAGTTTTTAGTGTGCGAATAATTCAATTCCACTTTGCCTGCTATGATCGCTGTTTACATACGTTTAAACAAACTAACAAGGCGTTGAAGCTGCTGTCGCCGAAAGCCCTGACATATTTGGTGACAATAATCAAAGCGATGCTCAGAATCCAGTACTTCCCTGTTGGATGGAAGACTGCTGAGGTCATCATGATTCCGCAGGCTATTTACGAGTATTGTACGAAAAAACGTCGCGGCCCCCCAGCAGAGGTATCTATAGACGGCAATCGTGTACCACGGACAAATTCTGCCAAGTACCTCGATGTCGCACTTAATAAAGGCATGATCTGGCAGAAACATACAGTAGCCTTGAAAACAAAATTCCAAATTGCGTTTCGGCAATTATATCCTTTGTTATGTAGATCCTCCAAATTGAGTTTGATAAACAAAGTTCGCCTATATAAAATGTTTATTAGACCAGCCATTACTTATGCATATGCGGCTTGGTGTTTTCTTGCCAAGACACGTATGCAAAGTCTTCAAGTACTGCAAAGTAGAACTTTGCGAACAATTTGCAACGCTCCATGGTATGTCTAAAACGAGACACGACACAGAGACCTTGGCATTCCTTACTTGAGGGATTATGTCAAACTTCAGGCGCAGCGACGTTATAGTCAAGCGGAATCGCACAGCAACCCTCTGTTGCGCGACTCAGTGGACTACACAGTGGAGCAAGTTCGTAAACATTCAAGGCCACGGCTCGCACTGTAATCAAAAATTAGCACGAACTTTTAGTACACTTAAAATTACACTAAAAATATTGAATCAAAAATTTGTTTAGTTCACCTCAAAATTAATCCGTGTACCAAGTCAAAAAGCCTAGGTGTCTCCTCTTAAACTAAACACTTCTGTTTTTCTTTGCTATTCTCCATCTTTCTTCTCTTTCCCTTTCTCTTTTTCCTTGACGTTGTCTGGTTTCTGGGCAACCAGTACTGACAGATTCGACTAACGTACATTAGACAGTGACTAATGGGCAAAGGTCCGGACCGCCCAGACAAACAAATGACGAATAGTACACACTTAAACAACAGGTACACACCTTTTTGTAAAACCTACGAAATATCAAAAAAAACTACGAAACGCCGTGCCGCACGGGTATTACGTATCTTAAAAAGTGACATTTCGTAGTTCTGTTTTGTGACATAACGTAGGTTTTTCTACAAGATGTTAATTTAGCACAACCTGTTCTACACTTGTACTTGTTGATTAAACGTCAGCAAACAGCGATCAGAACGAGCAAACGTGGAATGAACTATTTGCACACTACAAACTACCTATTCTGCAACATCACATTTCGTCAGTTTTTTTGGCGTTTTTCACATAATACCCGTGCCGCGCGGGTATTAGGTACGCATCTTGAAAAGTGACATTTCGTCGGTTTTTTTTGACATTTTTTACATAATACCCATGCCCAATGGGGTTCAAGCATTTTTTATGTTTAATGTCTACCGAAAAGTTTCCCAAAATTCCAGCGAAAACAAATCGACTCTACTTGGCAACACCGCGGTATCAAAGATTGTCACTCAGTTGTCACAGATTTGTCGATGACACTACGTCACTACGACAGTATACATAACCTAAAATTCAGTTTTAAACTTTGAAATACGAACTCAAGAGTGGTCAGAGGATGATAGGTTCTTCGTTTTAAATAAGACGAAATACTAGTAACAAACATGTATAAAAGATTTTTACCATATCTTTGTGATGCAGTGAATGGTAGAAGCTATTCCATTCTACAAATTACAAACAGTTACAAGATTGTCCAAGCAAACAACAATCGTAAGTTATTTGTATCTCAAATTCGAAGCGATAAGATGATGCTTTAAAATTGATATCAGGATCATGAATTCAATTTATTGGACAACGTGAACTTTGTATGGTTCATGTTTCAATCTGCTAAATATTTCCAGATGACCCATTGCAACATCACAATTTGTTGTTCAACATAATTTCTCTGAAGTACACTTCTTGCATAACACAAGATAGCTTAACAGCATCCTATGAAGAAATAAAGAAATTGGGAAAGCAGCCTTCCAAGGATGTCTATATTATTGATGTAAGAGAACCTACTGAACTTCAAGAGACTGGTACTATTCCTAGCAGTTTGAACATTCCATGTATGTTGAATTTATTACTAGTAACAAAATCTACGATGCTTACAACCATACACTTTTTATACATGTTTTAATACCACTGATATAGCTTGTAACAAAAGTAGTGTGTAAATGTCTTGGATTGGTTTGGATATTCAATAGATTGATGTCAGAAATGTTCTGCCCCAGGGTTTTACTGGTGGGCCATGTTGGTGCCGCCAATAATAAAAGAATCCAGTTCCAAAGTTGTCAGTCACAGGTTGGGGCAACGGCAAGTCCTGCTGTTGCTAGCTTGATACTGATGGTGGTACTTGGTCATTGAAAAATGGATAAGTTCTCAAATAAAACCATGTCTATAACCTTCTTTGGGTATCAATTAGTAAGTGTACCAATTTGTAGGTCTTTCCATATTCTGGTTTGATGTGATGCTGACAGAATGGACAGACCTTTACATTTACATAATATATGTAAGATTTCTTTACAATTCATAATTCTTAAAAATTTTCACATATTCAGCAAACAAATCACAAACAAAAATTATCACCTTTTTGATATCTGGAAACAGTGTCATAATCCTCATATACAAACTGTGGTGTGCATCGAACTTATTATTTCCTGTTTTTTTTTTTTGTGAATTATGGCAAAAATCATTGGGTATGTGTATATTTGGGTGAAAATTGGATTTGGGAAATTTCATGAAAAAAGCAGATGAATAAATTTAAAATTATGCCATAACCTTCCTCAAGTATCAATTAGTCTCTCCATATTGTGGTTCAGATACAATACTGGCAGACTGACATACATTCACGTTCATATATATATATATATATATATAAAATTACCATGCGGAGAAAGGTATATAACAAGTGGCTATAACCGGCCGCGTGGTGGTGGTTAGACGTCTCCTTGAAAATTCGAGGTTGTATAGCCATTTTATACTACAATGTGTAGGTTGGCTCTTGTTGTGGACTTCGTGTGTCGTTTTTTTTCCTCCAACTTCGTTTCCTCAGGTTACACCCGTATCCGGATGTGTGGGCATGTGTATCTACTTTTGTAGTTGCATATGTGCATTCATTTCGGTGATGAAGCCAACCAGCAGAAATACGTATCGCTCGGGTTACCTATCCTATTTTCTGCTTGAATCCACTTTTTGCGGATTTTGCCCATTATTTTCCTATTTTTGTTATATATATATATATATATAGGTGAAAAATTAAAGCTTCCGCCTTTTGTTGGGTACTTCGACAAGAATTAAGCAAAGAGGACTCTTTATACTTTTTTAATTCTCTCTAGCTTTCAATGGACTTTGCCATCATCATCAGGAGCTGCAATTACAATGATAATTGATAACAGTAGCAACAAAGGTGTAAAATGAATTTGAATTGACTCAACTTACAGTAGTATGTGAGGATGTTGCTAATTGTTGTTTACGTATAGGATGAGGGAAACGTCCAGTAACATGGTGAGAGCTGAATAGGTTGCACAATAGTCAAATTTATACAAAACATGACAAAAACAAGTTAAAAACAGATTAAAAATTATTTAAAAAATTTTAGAGCATTACATCGTGAAACCACCTGATGATTGCACAAATTAGTGGTCATGGAATGATGAATTGATGAGTGACATGAAACCCTTTGACAGAAGGCCGAAGGATGTCAATGTCAGTATTGAAGGATGGAACGAATTGTGGGCGTGTGCCAAAACGTTGCCAAATCACTTCAGATGATGAGATTTTCAGAATTTTATGTTAGAATTTGTTAAACCGACCAGAGGCAGTTGAATAAACTATATTATTATTAATGGGAATTTAAATTAACAATTATTAATAAATCGTGAGGAGAGAATATAATATATATAATTCTCTCCTCACGATTTATTAATAATTGTTAATTTAAATTCCCATTAATAATAATATAGTTTATTCAACTGCCTCTGGTCGGTTTAACAAATTCTAACATAAAATTCTGAAAATCTCATCATCTGAAGTGATTTGGCAATGTTTTGGCACACGCCCACAATTCGTTCCATCCTTCAATACTGACATTGACATCCTTCGGCCTTCTGTCAAAGGGTTTCATGTCACTCATCAATTCATCATTCCATGACCACTAATTTGTGCAATCATCAGGTGGTTTCATGATGTAATGCTCTTAAATTTTTTAAATAATTTTTAATCTGTTTTTAACTTGTTTTTGTCATGTTTTGTATAAATTTGACTATTGTGCAACCTATTCAGCTCTCACCATGTTACTGGACGTTTCCCTCATCCTATACGTAAACAACAATTAGCAACATCCTCACATACTACTGTAAGTTGAGTCAATTCAAATTCATTTTACACCTTTGTTGCTACTGTTATCATTGTAATTGCAGCTCCTGATGATGATGGCAAAGTCCATTGAAAGCTAGAGAGAATTAAAAAAAGTATAAAGAGTCCTCTTTGCTTAATTCTTGTCGAAGTACCCAACAAAAGGCGGAAGCTTTAATTTTTCACCTAACTGGTCTAGACGACAATGACCACGTCTCAAGTTATATATATATATATATATATAGAGAGAGAGAGAGAGAGATAGAGATTTGTACAATAAAACATTTATTATTTAGTTCCTGTGTCATGATGAGGGCCTGACTGATGTCAATTTTTAGGCCACATCTGCAGACAGTGTTTTGCTTTTAACACACCCTCCAGCTGAAGCTAAAGGTTGGGCTAATGGACAATGAGTGCTGTGATGTATAATGTTCAAAAGCTATCGAAATTAGATAAAAGGTGAACATAATGTGATGAATATGAATACTCAAATCATTTCAAGTTATACTTATTAAGCACTGTGATTTACATAATCATGGTTTCACAACCCCTATGTATGACATGTTACACATTTATTAAATCAGAATTAAAATTTGTACCTATGTAAAATTCCAATATAGCGACCATAGGAATAAATAAAGTCGTTGATTGAGGGCGGAAATTGAAATTCTAGTTATGCCATCTTGTATAGAAGAAAAACTGGCAATGCTAAAATTCTTTTCCGGTTATACTCCGAATATCCAGACTTTCTAAGTGTCATTTTCAGATGGTGAGATGTCGAATTTGAAACACCCGCATGGGTATTACGTAAAGAATCTATATATTATCAAAAAAAAAACTATAAAATGTCACCTTGTTGACTAAGTAGCCTAGTGTGCAAGTAGTTCATCATCCGCTTGCTACAAGTGAGCATGAGCATGAAGCGAACGACAGCTAGTTCCAAGTTGACATATTGGTTCAATGGTTATACATCTTTCAGTCTAATCCGTGTCTCACCACAGTACAGTCTAACATCAGATTGGTTGTTACTTTTGCTAGTATCAGTTATGTTTACAAACCTACTCACATTGTGATACTGAAAGCATATCTTACTTTATGTAACTATTGAGATGTTCTGGCAATGATTTTCAAATGGTGTCACTCAACTTTATAGACCTAACTGAACTGGTTGAATGTTTCCAATAATCCATAAACTTCGGAAACGCATTGCCGGTACATTCTTACTGTTTTTTCAATGATTCATTCAATTTATCCCCTATTTTGTTTGGTTTACACGTCTAACAATAGTCGCCTTAAATATGCATATGTAAATTAAAAAAGTGAAGATATAGAAAATATATAAATACTGATGGTTTGTGGTTTTCAGTGGGTGAAGTAGAAACTGCCTTGAAAGAACTATCTGCCAAACAATTCCTGGATAAATATGGGAGAGAAAAGCCCGACAAACAATGTACAATCATATATTCATGTAAGACAGGCCGTAGAAGTGGCAAAGCCCAAGAAATATCGCAGCAGTTAGGCTACAAAAAGTATGCAAAATTATCTATTTACTACTTTTGCTAATAGATTACCTAAAAAAATCGTAGTTGTATACCTACCAGGCCTGCAAATTTTGCGATATAACATTGCTTATAGTTATTGGCATAGAACAACACTATGATGAGCCAAGTCGCATATAAATTTCAACTTAATAAAGTCACTAAAGAACAAAAATATCATGATATATAAAGTGTCCCAGAATAGCATGTCTTTCTCTCGTACGCATAGAGAACACAAGAAAATACTGCCAAATTCCCATGAAAAAATGACCGATGGGTCTTCCTTATGGGGGCATAGGCCTCTGGAAAGACGCTACCTGAACCTGCATTGTATAATTCAATGAAATTTTGACATCTTAATAACCACTTGGGGCATCATCGGCGATATTCATAGAAAATAGATGCTGATATTCCTTACACCCTGTATAATAATTGCTCGGAGGACAAAAATCTTGTTTCAATTATGGATTTATCGATTCTCGCTAGAGCCAAAACTTGATCAAGTGATATGAAAATGTATATCCTGCGCCTTTGTAGGTTGCTGCTTAGCAAGCTGTTATCAGAATTGATATATTTTCAAAATTGCGGAAGAAGTATATACACTGGATCAAGTGCCAAAATGAATAGATCTTTACGTATTTGTTGTTTTCTATGAATAGCATCAGGTGAGATACTAATAAATTACTAAGCTATCAAAATTTCATTGAATTGTATAGAGTCGTTTAAAAGTTAATAGAAAAGCGTTTTCCAGTAGCGTCCTTTAGGGGCGTGGACCTCCATCGGGGAACTGCGTAAGTCACTTTATTTATAGTAACTTCTGGCATTATGTTTGTATTGTCATGTTATTCTGGGGCACCATGTATACAATAAATACAAAATGATTTTTTTTCTTTCCAGAGTTAAAAACTTTGTTGGAGGTTGGACAGAATGGGAAGAAAGAAATAAATCATAAATGCAGCATGTATGCTATATGTATAAAGAAAAAACACCACATTAAGTAAATAAATTTGTCTTCTTGAATATATCACTATCCATTTATTTATTTTTTAATTTCTCTACTTCAATACCACGTAGATTCCAGAAGAACGTGGGAGATATAACACAACTTTATATGTGTAAATGAAGCTAAATGATATAATAATAATGGTCCTTATTCTGTTACATTATACATCCAACATACATAATACGTACAGATAAGACACTAAATTTTTTAGAATGGAATGGTACGGCAATGATCAATTGTATCATGTGTGTGCTTCTACATTTAATAATATCACCTCCAAGACGAATAATCGAAACGAATATTTACACCTGAAATCTCTCATCACTAATATCGATCCTTGTGAGACAGTGAGACCACCACATAAAAGATCAAAACATAAGTTTTGATTGTTGTGTTCAGGCTCAAGCCAAACTATTTTCGACCGAGTCCAGTTGGTGCCAGTGGTTCAAGTACTGCATACTGTAACCTGTAACACCACACATCAGTGTCTGGCATTGTGCGAGAAACTTAACAAAACTTCTGCTCACTTAAAATTAGTTCTAATATAACACAATTGATTCACTAACTGCAGTAGCGCAGGACACCGTAAGTTGCTTTGAATTAAGGTTGCCTGTTTTTCACTGTGTGCATGACCTGTACCTGTGGTATGACTTTAAAATGGTATTTAAATAAGGGTTGAAACTGCATTTGCAGGTAAAAAATGGGCGAGATCAATTTTGAAGAAGTAAGACGGTTTTCAACAGAATGTGATGCTAGCAATTATATTATTGATGTCAGAGAACCTTCTGAACTTGAAAAGACTGGTATAATACCAAAAAGTATCAACATTTCATGTATGTACCTACTCATATATAGTTCTTTTCTCTCAACGCACGTACGTCATATTTAGTAAATTTGAATGCCAACCTTAATGCAATATAGATCCTGAATTAGTACGTATAGCTTGAATGTCCCGGGTACATTCAAGTTTTAAGTAATGTGGCAACCATTGATTCAGTAGAGATTTTTCCCTTTCCTCTCGAAGTTTTGACAGTTTCTAGTTACACCGGTAGTAGTTAGATGGCGCATGTTCCGCAAAATGTTAGCTTTAAGATTCTTGATAAACTTGGCTGTCTTGTTAGAATCTGAATTGGCTCGAGTAAAGATAACATGGCCACGCAAGACAAGTATTGACTCTAGAAGACTATCCGTAGCGAAACTTTTCTCGAAATCGTTGTACACCGCTTAAAAACTGCAAATGAGGATTGGAAAACTGCCGCTTGACGTACTGCAATGTGCGAAATTTATTTAAAAAAACATAGGATGTCAACCCTAACACACAACTAGATGCGTATGCAAGACTCACCTAGTTTGCTGCGCGAATATCCTGTTTTCCCTCGGAAGAGTTGGAGGTAGACTTAATTTCCACTTGACACCCTCGTCACAACACTAAAACACCAAAGCAATACTGAGAGACAATCGAGAACCCTATAGTGAACACCACTACTGAAAAAAAGTAACTAAACCGAATAGAGCTCAGCACGGAGCCTAGAACGCCTAGACATTCCGCTGCGCCGACGGTTTCCTAGCGACTGAGTGCTACCGGTCAACGTAAACATCGAGGCGCTTCGGAGCAGACGCGCGGAGTGGGAGCTGGAAAGGGGTGTGGCTGTACTACCTGGCCGTACTGTACCGCCACGGCGAAGTACAGCACTCGCACGCGTCAGTCTCTCGTCAATCGTCGGCGCAGCTGAATGTCTACGCTTTCACACTTCCGTACAGAGCTCTATTCGGTTTAGTGGTGTTCACTTAGGGTTCTCTATTGTCTCTTAGTGGTGCCTTGGTGTTATGACGTGGGTGTCAAGTGTCTCCAAAGTTTAAATTAGGTCTACTTCCAAATATTCTGAGGGAAACAGGATATCTGTGCAGGAAACTAGGTCAGCCTTACATACTCATCTACTTGTGTGCAAGGGCTGACATCCTATGTTTTTTCAAATAAATTGCGCACATTGCAGGCACTGAGAAATTAGTCATATGCTGAGGTATTTTCGAAAAAGTAAAATTTGTATTGTGCAACGATTTCGAGAAAAATTTAGCTACGGATAGTCTATAGTATATTTCAATAGTTGCCTTGCGTGGCCATGTTATCTTTACTCGGCCCTCTGAATTAAAAATACCGATAGTTTTTTGTGCAATGTACATATATCAATAAAAATCAAGCATTTGATATGACAAATGCGATTCCTATATCTTCGATGACCTTCTCCCTCGTCATTTAAAATCAGGTGGGCGCGTTTCTCCGTTTATGATTTAATAATATAACTCATTTTTCGGCACTGCGAAGACAAAGTTTCAATTGACATGTCTGTGTTTTATATGACATTGACATAAGACCTGTCACCCGTTAGTACCTCACAGACGTTAGGCGGTTACCCGTACCACGTGATTTTTTGACATTTGGATGACGCCACATCCGTCTTTCCACATTCCCGTTCTTCGCGAAAATTTGAGTATCGGAGTATCGGTTCCCGGTAGTGCCCTCTGTAGCAGAGTCTCCCGAGTATTAAAGAATACACTTTCTATTCTCTATTTATTAGTTGCTCACGTCCTCATTTTAATTCTTACGGAGTGTTTGTTTGCGAATAGAGTTGTATAAGCCCATTGATATTCTTACTTTTTATCACGGTTATCTAGTAAAAATATCATCGCATGTCATATAAGGTATTTAGCATTCAGTGGTCCGTGTTTACTCGAGAGTCCCAGGATCGCTCGCATTCCTGCAAATGTCAAGAATAGACCCCCAGGGCTCAAAATTGGGTCGCTTTGTTTCATGAGAAATCATAGCGGTAGCATTATGTTTTATAAAACAAACAGGCGCAATACGGTTTGTAAATATAAAATACAATCTAGTGGCTATTGGAGTTGCGCCAAGTGCTTGTGTAACGCATAGTAGACGGTGTCAACAGGCACCAACGATTTCGAATAGATTAGGAGCCAAGCCCTGTATGTTTACATTTCAATATTTGTCGGCAAAATTACGTAGTTTTAGTGCATACTTTTGACCAATTTATCTACGAATACCTACCAGTGACACTACTGTATCAACATAATCTAATACTTGTGCCGCTATTTGCAAATTATGTAATAACACCACAATGATCTACAAACACTCGCACTTTTAAAAAATAACTCTAAGAGCCGTATCATCAGTCGTTCCTACAATTGTAGGACGCCTTTATGGCCTGCTTGAGTTTCATAGTTTTCTACTTTTACGTATCACCGCTCTATTTTGAGGTCATGTTACAAATATCTATCTGCATCAAATTGTTCATACTTTTATATCATATTCAAAAAGAAAACATCACTTCACAATAGGAGGACGCTGACACGGAACAGGTGCAATCTGGAAATTTTATGGCTTTAACTGCTCGGCTACCAGCTGCCTGAATACATCTCCTCTTTACTGGCTGGGCAGAGATGAAGCAATGTATTCTGACAGCTCGTAGCTGAGCAAGTGTGAGGACACTCTGTCACACACACACACGCTTGTAATGCGGAGGGACCGTATTTATAACCGAATGTAATCATTAACAGCCACCATTAGTTTGATGACCCCTTTTATATGCTATACCCAATGCTTTTTACAATTTGAAATACGTTTCATTTTTCAGTATGTGAACTACAGCAAGCTTTAGAAAAACTTTCGGAACAAGAATTTCTGGATAGATATGGAAGGAACAAGCCTGACAAGCAGTCCTCGACAATCATATATTCATGTCTGTCTGGCCGTAGAAGTAAACAAGCCGTAGAGATAACAAAGCAGTTAGGTTACCAAAAGTACGACAAGCTTTAATTTCCTGTATGCATTTTAAAAACTATACCCTTTTGCTTTTAGTGTTAAAAGCTTTTCTGGAGGTTGGAGTGAATGGGAGAAAAAATCAACAGCTGAGCCCCAATGACGTACTTACTAGTATCAAGTCAGACATGTACATTGTTATATATATATATATATATATTACTTTGGGCATACATATAATGTGAGCACATATCGAATGGGAATATAACTATTTTATGAACTACCCTTTTATTTCTAATTTTGTATGTAATAATCAACAGAAAGCTGAAAGCGGACACGCCTCGTCTATGTTAACCAAAATGTTCTATGTATGTATTTTAATATCGTGGATGGCCAAGCTTGCCAAAGAGCCGTTCATTTCAGTCCAGATCATCGAGGACTTGATCTGGCACGAACACACCTCGTCAATAGCCGAAGCTGCTGGGTAAAAGCTGGACTATTTGTTTAGGGCTAAGACGTATTTTTCTCCGCATGACCTCAGTCAATACAAGGCACATATAAGACCTAGCCTCGAGTATTGCTCACACGTTTGGGGTGCCGCCGTCCCGACTACATTATTCATTCTTGAGGAGGGCTGTCCGACTGATCGAAAACTATTCTCTAAAGGACAATCTCGGGGCTACTTCGCTACTTCCCATCCTAGATGACTTGTGGAAATAGTACAGTTTTGCGCTCGGCCGTCGGCAATCGATATATCATTATTTTTCATTTCATTTCAAGTTTTTGTACATTGATAAAAATAAAATATAATTAATCTGCAGTTCTCCATTTACTACTCACACTACGCCAAGAAATATCGATACATGAATTTTGAATGAAAGAAAAAAATAGTTATTAAAAAACATTTATAATTTCAATAAACCCAACTTGCTGACAACATAGTTGGTAGTAAGCAAACAGTTCATTCCGCGCTTGCTATAAGTGAGCATGAAGTGAACGACGGCTAGTTCCTGGTTGACATTTTGTAGGTAAACCTACATAGTAAAAAAACGACAGTCACTTTAATACAAGTTACGTAAAACCCCTACAGGAGCAGGATGCCAGGAAAATTCGATTATTTGAAATAACCTGCCGAATTGAAAATCCCATCTCTACATCAAACGGTTTGTGGCATAGAATTTGACAACTGTTGATGACAAATGTCCTGTAATGCAAAAAAATAAGTGAGGTTAGGAGTGTTGACAACTAGCTGTCAGATGCACCAAAAGAGGCGACCGAAGTGTTTACTACTGTGTCTCTACTCCCACTGTTATCCGAAAAAGGACATTTATTACCGTGCATGTCTGACAGCGAAACCAGTGAGAACGATCTCGGTGCTGTGACCGAAAAGACAAGACTGATGGACGGTCATGTCGCTGCAAACGGTGGCTCCAGCAGTGGGCCAACAGAGGGACTGGAGCACCAGCCCAGGAAAAAGGCCAGACGGCCCCCTGCTACAGAAAGTACTCATTTGAGGTATGATGCGATGATGCTCATTTGTTTGCAATTTATCTTTCAAAAATAGCAAAAGCACATAAAAGTACTCATATCTGAATTATAGTTCTACATAAGCTGTGTAATGATCCTACAGCATATGTTGTATTGGATATATTTAAGACCTGACTTTGTTTTAAAAAAGGTGTGAAAATATAGGGGTCCTCAGCGCTAAGTTAGTAGTAGTTCTAGGGAGATGAAGCAAGGCATGTAGGCCACCTTTGACCCTTTTTGTTCTAGCAGCAGGTTCTCCACTACAGCCAGTGGCACAAAATTGAAAACTCCATTTTTATAAATTGTGAACAACTGCAAGCACTGCCTAAAGGTAGCATATCATCAATGCTAGTGCAATACTATGTAACAAACAGTGGATAAAAGTGCATAATGTGGTAGTAATCAACATTGTAGGAGAGTGTTAAATTGAATACATAGTCGTGCCATAAGTTCTGTCCCATGATAATCTCATGATAAAAATGAAACAAGATAAGATATATTTATATGAAAGATATTATTTATTCGACAACATTTTTAGAATTCATAATCAAACAGTTTTATTCAAAATGTCCCCCCTTGGCCTTCACACACTGCTTCAATCTCGCGGGCCACTCATCTATCACTGCACGCACAGCTTCCAAAGGAATAGCTGCCGCTGATCGGATCAAATCCGCTTTCAGGGACTCGATATTACGGTGGGCTTTGGAGCAGGCCAACTGCTCTAGCAGGTCCCACAACTTGTAGTCTAAAGGATTGAGGTCCGGACTCCCTGAGGGCCAATCTTCCGCAGCAATGAACTCTGGCACATTGCTTTCCAGCCAGCGCTGCGTACTCTTAGCCTTGTGAGCGGGGGCGGAATCCTGCTGGTAGACCCAGTGTTGGTTGGCAAACAATGTACCACTTAAAGGCTTGACGATAGGATCCAGTATGTCGCTCTGATAGTTTGCCGCTTTTGTTTTCACGCCCTGTTTACAGAAATGGAGCTGAGTGACCCCTTCGTAGGACACCCCCCACCAAACCATGACTGACGCAGGGTGGTGGCCTCTCTCAACTCTCGGAATGATCTCCGAAGCTTCCTGTGAACTCCTTGCATACACTTTGTCATTTTGTCGGTTGAATTTTTCTTCTATGGTGAAGATTTTCTCATCCGTGAACAAAATCTTTCGGAATCCCCCAGCTGCGTACCTCTCCAAGAGCTTCTTGGATCTTGTCGCCCTGATGTGTCGCAAGGTGGCCGTAAGTCGCTGGCCCGTACGTCTCCGGTAAGCCCCTAGCCCTAGGTCTTGTTTAATGATGCGCGACATCGTCCGGACAGGAATCTTCATTTCCCTGGATAGGATCTTCTGCTTCCGGAGTGGATTCCTTTGAATCCTGGCTTTTACGGCTTTGATGGCTGCTGGAGTCCTTACTTGACGAGGTCTTCCGCTTCTTGGCCTGTCATCAACAGAGGACGTCTCATTGTACCGCTGAATGGTCCTAGACACAAATTTACGCGATATTTGAAGGCCGCGTAAGAGTTCAAAAATCTGACTAGCACTGTGATTACACTTATGTAAAGCTATCACTGCAATACGGTTCTCTGCCTTGCCCCACTCCATCGTTATGCTTCGAGAGATCAATACAAACTGAGGTATATGTAAATACCCGAAAAGCGCTTAATCAACTGACACCACAATGTAAACAATCGGACAAGTATTAACAGGTCTACACTTGTTTGAAAACGAGGGACAGAACTTATGGCATGACTATGTATTTTCTATAACGACATGCTCATCTAAACCCATGGGATGAACCCAATAGCTATCAAAAAGCGATGCGTTTAAAAGCAAAAATTTTTGTTTGCATTTGTGGTTTGTGACACTGTGGGTTAGGCAGTATTGAGTTAGCATCAACAATATGCAGTAATGTGTTTACCTCTCTTTCAAATAAAAGTTCGATTAGAGATTGAATTCAAGCTCTCTTCATTAATCTCATTTTAATAGGCATTATTTGTTATATTTGGACAGATCAGGCGAACATGCTGGTACAAGTGATCAAAGACAGTCTGCAGTACAAAATGATATGCCAGTAGGTCCTTCACAAACCATTGACGAGGAAGAGGAACTGAAATATGGTGCTAAACATGTTATTAAGCTGTTTGCACCTGTTTCACTCTGCATGGTTGTTGTTGTAGCCACAATCAGTGCTGTCAATTTTTATTCTGTAAAAGACATGTATTTGTAAGTATTTGTCTATCTGAACTTTGAAGTTTGTAGTCTTTTTTCATATGTGCTAGGTCTTACAAAGCATTAAAATGTACAACTATCTCCACTAGATTATAGTAAAATTGGTTCATAAGGGGCCTACAGACACACGAACATGTATTAAGACATGAACGCACGTCGACGTTTGCGCGTTGATGTTCGCCAGTGTGTAGACAAATCTCTCGTTAAAAGACTGACGCACATGCTTTCTGTTTTCCCTTGAATTTATGCCTGCACAGACTTGTACGCGCGTGTATGTATGCCTGTGTGTAGACAAAACGTACTAATTTTCACAGACTTAATTCAGTGGCGCGACTGCATTCGTGTATTCTTTTGTTAGGAGCAGGGGGGTCAACTTAAAAGTTCATTTAGTTTTGAATTTGTCAATGTGGCAGATTTGAGAAGTTTTTCCAAAGAGTTTATAACAGAGTTCATAGAACTATACAAATCCTATCCATGTTTGTGGCGAGTAAAATCAAAAGACTATATGGATCGCAATAAAAAAAACGAAGCTTATAAAGTGTTGGTGCTGAAGCTACAAAAAGTTAAATTACTAGCCTCCGAGCTAGTTTTCGGAGAGAACTAAGAAAAATTAAAGAGTCGAGAAGATCGGGTGCTGCAGCAGATGATGTTTATATACCACATTTATGGTATTATGATCTACTTTTATTTATAAAGGATCAGGAAATCCCTAGATATCAGAAATGGAAAATGAAGACGCTCTAGAACTGGAGGGAAGGCCTGATTTATTTATTTGACTTTTACTTCCCACGCCAACTGGAGAGGAACAGAGGAAGTATTGTAATCGCGAAAAATTTCGAAAATGAGGTATTATATTTTATGGATGGTATATAATATATAACACATATATATCAAAAAATAAGAGGGGCTAGCCGAACATGGATATGCTTGAACCGATAAAATCAATGCGTGGGAAGTGCGGAGTCAACCTACTTGATGCCATTTTTTGATTTCATGTAAGAAATAATGAAGTGGTACACATATTAATATAGAGGGTAATAAAAAATCGTCTTGATATTTTGATTCGCTTTACTTCAACTTAAGTACTTAAGGTATAATACATAAATTAGCAAATCATTCTTTCCTGCCAAGCTACGGATCCCTCATTATTAAAGTAGTTCAGAAATAACTGTCTAACTTCTTGTGCATCCTTGTTTGCTCTTCTATTGTAACCCCGTTGCAAACTAGTCATCTGATTGGGTTGCAAGCCTAATTCAACAGTGCCATCTTCATGGTTCTCCCAGTATAAGTTGTTATCAGGCGCATACACAGTGGCAGTTCTTCTTCTCAGAAAATTATGCAGAACACAACATGCCATCACTACTTTGTCAATTGCTTTTAAGTTAATAGATATAGCTGTGTGGAATATTCTAAATCGAGCAGAGAGTATACCGAAAGCATTCTCTACTCTACATCTTGCCCTTGAGAGACGATAATTGAAAATTTTCTTATCATGATCCAAGTCTCTCTGGCTAAATGGTTTCAAGAAA